ATATAATATTCTGTAACTTCTGTCGGTGCTGTGCTTTTTTGGAAACCAAATTTCCCAGAGGAACCCACCCGAGGGATTAATAAAGTTTTATCTTATCTTATCTTAATGCAAAAGTAAAGGGAAATTATTTGACGTTGGTTTATAGTCATGAGGAAAAAAATAATAACAGATGATTCTGTTCTGGACATCCAAGTGACTTTTCAGGCTCTGCTGGCTGCAGGTTTCCTTCTAAACAGAACATCTGCATAATGACTGAAACCAGCAACAGTTTCATTTCAATTTACATTCATTAATATGTAAATTGCCATGACCACTGATCAATGGTCATATGCACCATTCACAGCATTGTAAGATGGTGAAAGATGCACCCTTAGGCTTCCTCCTCAATTTCCATGTAAATGTATTCCTTGACTCCCCAGTCAAACCAGCGTTCCTCCCACTGATAACGCTACATCCAGATAAACAGATTTTTTAGGGACCTCCTCACCTTGATGATTGAGCATGCATCAAGACATAAAAAGGAAGTTTTCACAGGACTGCTTCCAAGTAACAGCCCATTTCTGCTAATCAAATCCACTTGATTCAACCATCAGCACTTCTACAAACAGAGTTGTGAGTGATGCCGTAAAAGCAGAGGCTTTGACAGTTTGATGGTCTGGAGCAACGATGTGAGTGTTAACATAATGACAAAGAAAGCCCACAATGACCTCAGACAAGCAATCGTTGGTGCCCATCATTCTGGGAAAAGTTATCACACCATTTCCAAACAATGTGAAATCCTTTGCTCTACTTTCACAAGTGGAAAACATTAACGTTGTCCGTTTTCCCAGGAGCGGACGCCGCAGCGAATCCACACCGAGAAAACACAAAAGCTCCAGTTTCGACCCCACAGGCCTCAGTTAGCAACTTAAATGTTGAGGTTCATGAGAGTTCAATTAGAAATAGACAAAACAAGTATGACTTGTTTGGACGGGTTGCCAGGAGAAAGCCTGATCTCTTTTAAAATCAGTAGATGTTCTGGATAAAGTGAAAACCAAATGTAGTGATGAGGGCTCGTCTTGATAAACAAAACAAAAACCAAACAAAAGAAACCCGGCACATATAAAAAAATAAAATATTTCACTCCTACTATATCCCAGATATGCCGTGCCGATCATATGTTTTTAATTGCTTCAGCCTGCCCACGCTTGCTTTTGCATCTGCATCCATCTCTCGTCTGCTGTGACTGTGACTCTTTTATTCGCTGGGATCTCGCTGCTGCTTTTCCCACATCAGATGGAAATAATCACTCCTGATTGAAATGTAATATTTACTCTACTTTCAGCTTTGTGTTTGATCTCCACCTTTTCTTTTTTCCTAGCAGCTCCTTGCTTCACTGTTTGACCAGCTACTGAGTTATTGAGTAGGTTTGTCAGAGCTTTTCTGCTGGGAACAAGTGTCTGCCTGGACTAGAAATGAGCTTCTATGTAAGGTCAAACAAATTAGCCATGCACTAAAAGGCAGTGTAGAAGCAGGGTGAAAGACATCAGGTGATAGTTGTCTGTAGATCTTTCACTGTGATTGATTGACTCTAAAAATGTCTTGGCAATTATCTCCTAGTACACTAGTAATTTGAAGTCTGCAGTTACAGATGAAACACCAGTTTGCTCAGTAACTGCAGACAGACGCCTCACTCAGGAAGTAGCTCGGCGCACTGCTTTGAAGTTAAGAGCTGCACACTAGTGGATATTTCAGGCTCTGGTCACCTAGGTTACGCTAATGTATCAACCAGCCTGTCATATATCAATCAGTCACTTTTCCTGATGTTGGTAGCTGTCGCCAGTAGTTATCTTACCCTTCATCACTTTCAGTCACTGACTTTCTCAGGTCTGTTGTTGCCACATCACTGCGATCACTTCCTTTGCTCCTGACAACTCTGATTAGTTTAAACAGTTTTATTTAGTTCTTGTTCATTTTTCCATTTTTTTGTGGGAATGTCTTTCAGCTCTTCATCACACAATGTTTCGAACATTTAAGCAGCACGAAACTGGAATGTGACACAACAATCAGCTGCTGACATCAGCAAATCCTAATCTTATTTGCCAATCAAATATGCACACATAAGTCAGCAGGGTGCATTCTTACTTGTTATCTTTAGAGAGGAATGAAGGGCGAGGTGTAGTCTAATTAAAAAATAACAAGGTCAAACTATGCAAGAGGCCCTCCCAGCAATAGCACAACAAAATACCAAACACGGGTCGTCCATCTTTGATGTGGCGAAGCGCGGTCACCTGCAAAATGTAGAAAATAACAGGATCTTTGAAGCAAACAACAGCGCACTCAGGAGAAAGTGTGAGGACGTGACTGATAGTTGCTGGGCTGGCAGAGCAACTGCGTCTCTTTGCATCTGCGGTCTCTGAGGACATTATGCAAGCATGTATGCATGGCTGTGTCTCGGTCTGGTAATACCTGAAGCACGAACAAAGACTTCCACCCATGTCTCGTCCAACAATAACAGGTGTCACGCCCTGAAGCATGCATACCGGGCGAGTACCTCCACATCAAAGACAGGCCATTAAAGGAGGAGAATTCCCATGCAACCCAGTGAGGAATTACTCATGGGAACTTGTGAGCTAAATGTTTTTGCTTCTCCTAACTCGTTCGATGTGTGAAGGTATTTCTTCTGTTCGCCTAGACGTCGCCGGGGAGTGGAGTATGATGACTGCGTGCTTGTCAACTAATATAAAGACTCTAATTGAAAGAATTAAAGCTTCAGGAGATTAATGAGTAAGATGTTTTTGTATTCGCAATAGGGATTTATCTGTGTGATGTAATTAGCGGTTACTGTTAGAAAATGCCTAGGTTTCAGACTGAAGCAGAGGCACTGACTGCAGGCCAAGGGGGAGCACAACGATCAATACTTACTCAATGGTGCCGTGACCCTCCGCGCTTTCTTGCACCACATTGCCTTGAAGAATCTCCTGAGTCTTCACAGTGGAGATTGGCAAGTCCTTATCTAGTTCTGGCTCTGCGAGAAGTCGTTAAAGATAAACCATAATAAGAAATGAC